TCCTTTTGGCGAATGGCATTTTGTTCGCCAAAAATAACAGAGGCTGCAAGCCGAGCGTATATCCCCACTGCCGAGAAGAAAAAGGTAAAAACGGGGTAGAGACAACATCCAAATGTGTAAGATCCACGAGAAGCCCGACGAGGTTCAGGCCGACGGCGCGTTGTCCCCCGGGGCGTCAATCCAAAGTTCCCAGGATCTCCTTGAGCTCCTCCATCCCGCTGCTGGTTTCTGGGGATCACTCACACTCCCGCTCACACACATGCACACACGCGCGCACGCATGCAGGACGCAGCGCAGCCCAGGTCAGTGGTGTGAGGATGCGTGTTGAGTCTGCGATCATGGGTTGCCTCCGTGCCGCGTCAATTCAGCCACAGCTCAAAGGAGGAGACGCTGGGGCATTTCAAAATAAGACTCGCGGTCGGCTGGAGAAGAGGAGAAACGTGGCTGCATAACAAAACAGCAACAACAACAAAAAAAAGTAAAACTGTAAAATATAAAACATCCGCACGAGAAGCGTTTCTGGCGTGATTATATCGTGCCAAACAATGAATTGTTTTTTATTTCGGTCATACTGCAAACGTGTAGCCTTTAATTTTTAGGCTTCTTTCTTCCTTTCCGATGACATTCTGGTTATTTTTCAGGTCATTGACGCAGCTTGTATCCGTGGCCTGAAGAGCGTTCAGACGGTGAAGATGAGAGTTGACTGAGGTAAAACACGGAGGTGTGGATGTCTGTGGACAGGGAACGGCCACGAGGTTCCATCCCTACAAGCTCACTGTGATACAATCACCTCTGATCAGGAAGAATACCTGCTGATGTGGACTGGACAGTTTTATTGTGTATTAATAAATACATAATATCATGTATATATGTGTATGTATATATATATATATATATATATATATATATATATATATATATATATATATATATATATATATATATATATATATATATATTACAAAAACAGAAAGAAAAATATTAATAAATTGACTGTCAAGCTTGACTTTAAGTTTTTTTTTTTAACTATTTTTCTTGACGTTAGGAAATTAGAGTGGATATGAATCAATTCCATCAGAACAATATACTCACCGGCCACTTTATTAAACACAGCTGTGGGGTGGGGTTGGGGGGGGGGGGTGTTCGGTGGTGTCGAGCTACAAGCTATTATCACTCATTTGATTGTGGCGTGATGAACAAGGGACGCACCTAGAAGATCCAGGGCCCTCAATTACTGTGGTGTGAGGCCACTGATGGAGCGTCTCACATTGAACATGGCCAGCACTTGTTGGGAATTCCTGCTCGGCTCCTTGCCTGCTGTCCTGAACGATTTCTGTCTTGTTTTCAAAGCTTCTGTAGGAACATCTAGTTCTTGTAATGTTTCTGTTTTCTCACTTCTGCTCCAGTTATTGATGACCATCTCTAGGTATAAATTGTCTGATAACCTCATTCTGATTCTTCTCTGCAAAATGTGACGTTTACTGAACGATGCAGTGACATACAACGGTTAAAACGAAATAAAACATCGTTCTGAAGGAACGCAATAGAAAACATGTCAGTTTCTCTTATCAGATGCCCTTGTTTGCTTATTTTAAATTGCAAACTTGCCCAAAAAATGCAGCTTGCTGTTGTTGCTGAGGGGTTTTTTTTTCCTGCTGAATGGGGTTTTCCAGGATACTAATTCTGGTCATTGTCTGATTCATTTGCACTGATTAGCCTATAGCCTCTGGGCTCAGGCTGTATATAGACATGTCTGCAGCAAACTTGCAGTTCCAGCAAATTTGAGACACTGCAGACCGACAGGAACTTGTCATCTACCTAACTGTGCTCTGCCGGAAAAGCAAATGTTCAGCTACAAATCATTCAGATGGATCTGAAAAAATGAAAAAAGTACCTGGAGGAGTCCTTAGAACATTAGTTCAGCAATCCATCTCAGCTGCTTGGCATGGAGATTTGCTTAGTTAAGTAAAGATGTTTCATCTATTAATGTTAAGATACTCTTCCCTTAAGTTGCAGAATGATTATGTTTATTAGTTTTAAAAAAATCTAATTTAAATCACATTGTTTTGTAGTAGAAAAGGGTTGTTCTTTTATTTATATATGATGCTGTAAGTTAGCTCTTTGGCAGAATTACATTTCATATTTTTTTAACATATCAAAACATTTTCTTTTGTAATGTCATTTATTTCCTCTATGCGGCGAGTGAAAACAGGCGCTCTGTCCTACCTTGATATGTGTGTGTTTTTCTTTTTAGTTCTTTAATTTATTATCCAACAGAACAAAGCTTTGCTAAACAAATGAGGGCTCATAGTTCGAGATGACTTTATTCAACAGCTCTTCTTTAGAGTCAGCGTAAAATGAAACGTGCATTTTGAGTTTTAACATACCATATGAGTTTGTTATTTGGCTTTTGATGGTTACATTTACAGATTTACCTGCGGAAAATTGATGGGATAGGAGCTTTTCATTCAGAAATCTTCCTACTTTGCCTGAAACTTGTGTTTGCATTGAACCAGCAATCAGAAAACATGCTTCTGTTACATAACAGTCTGCTGGTCTAAAGTAATGGGTTTGAAACGTTTTCTTCTCTGAAAAACACACCAGCAATAAATCTGACTCTGAAAGGAGTGAAGGGATTATTTGAATCCACAAGGGGGCGTCCTGAGCCGTCTTTCACAAAAGACTGAGCATGAAAGGGAATTAATGAAAGAGAAAACACAACAACTGCCCAACTGATCCAGGAAAAGTTTCCATGTTCGTGGAAAAGAAAAGCAGAGAGAGAACGTTTAGGTGATGGCAGCATCATGTCAGCCAATGTCTTTTCCAGGAAGCAACCACAGCGACACCAGACCTGGTACAGCTTCTGTGGGGAGAAAAGTACCCGAGAAAACGAAAGCTTAGTTTCTAACTAAGCTTTTTAGTTAGAAAAGCTTTAGTTTAGTTAGAAACACCAGAGCGCCACCTTCTGGCCTGTCTCCAGATCAGTTAAGTTCAGATTAGGGAACTGTTTCTGGCTTTGCTTTTTCCCCTCTGTGGGCTGCCGCCTAATCATGGTGGAGGGGTTTGAGTGTCCCAGTGACACTAGGAGCTGTCAGAGGCTTTATGGGTCTATTTGGGCAAACGGGTCCTAGGACCAAGAGCAGCCCAAATATCCCGCTTACAACCAGGCAGAACTCAGACTTTCTCCCAGTCTTTTATCAGCCTGGCGGGTCACCAGGCTTTATTTTCCCTTCACCAAGCTGTGGGTTGTTATTTATCTACACCAGTGACAGTAAAGACAGATTAAAGTGAAGGTTTATAGTTGAAACATTGCAGGAGTTGTGAACCAATTGTGCCGTCCCATCAGTTGCCAGTTGGCTTCACATGCTGCTATTTCTGAGTTTTGATGCCTGATCCTGCACCTCAGACTTTCTGTGACCAGACTTTTTATTTTTTAACCCAAACATGCAGCAGACCGCTGATGGACGACTCCAGCCGCTCTACCTCCGGGCTCAGCAGGTTTTCTGGAGGAAACCCTGAACGCTTTCACAGGTGACACTTCCTTATTGTTCTCTATTTTGACTTGAAACTCTCTTAGCAATCTTTGCTGCAGGTATTTTGCTGTTTATTTAAAAGTGAGTTTAAGTATTAAACTCACTTTTAGGTGGGACCTGCACCTGTCCTGTTGTCACCTTCCCAACTTCAATTTCCATTAGCATGATTTGTTTCTCTGTTTCTACCAAAGACTGGATGAATAAAGTCTTCTATCTGGTGTTTCGTAAACAAAATTGTTCTTTTAAAAAAAAGGCTTAGCTGAGACCAAAAATTCCTTTTATTTTGTAGTTTCTATTTATTTATTGAGGATATTTTAAATGTCTTCCAGTTCCAGTGTTAAATGCTCATTAGACTTTAAAGTTTGAGAATGATGAGGACTTCTTCCCTTCAGTCCTCCACTCAGGAGCTTCTTTCTTTTCAGTTGGGTTTTTATTTTCCATCACAACAACATAATACCTGTTGACGAAAATAATTCATCTCTGATTTTCTGTTTCTTCTTTTTACTTGTGTCAGAGCAGGGAGGGTTTGAGTCACTTCGTCACACTGAGCCGATGGACACTGGAAGAGAGGAGAGGAAGTGAGCTTCTCCTGCTGGGCAGCTCTGAACAGAAAACGAGGATTTAACTATACCGTCCTGATGAGAAGCTGCTTGTAGACCCAGATGAACTCCATCCATCCATGCTTAGTTCCCTTTAGCTGACATTATCATCATGCAATAACTTGCAAATAAGTATTGGCAAAGCTCCATGTAATTTTCACAGGTGGTGGAACATTGTCAACAGCTGCTGAAAGTAACTAAAAAAGTTACTTGTAATGTAATGTTACTTTCTAAAGTAAGTAATCAATAATCTAGAATAAGTTACTTTCTCAAGTAGTAATCAGTAATCCAACTGAAGTTACCACAGCCATCGCTGGCTGTTGATGTTCACTTCACCGTTAATGAAACATTTTCTGGCAAAGAAATCAAAATATCCTTGGTGAAAAGCTCGTCCATGCTGGGCATGTTGGTATTGAACTTTGGTCTCATTGCTGGTTTCTTATCGGTATTTATGACTTACAGTATCATTTATGGTTCATCCAGAAAATTCATTGCGGCTTGATGAGGATAATTGTGAATCATCTTGTTTTCTCTTTCTTAAAATTTTTCTCCCCAAATTCTGTTTGTTCAGCACAAACAGAATTAGTGAAGTCATTTATTTATTAAGATTATTTTCGAAATCTACTTAAAGCAACCATGTTAAAACTCAGTAAGTTAAACACACAAATCTCAGGCCCAAAACCGTTACATAAATATCATAAAATATTTAAATACCTTATCTGATAGCAATTTCTTAATCTGGTATGTTTAATAAAATAAAAAAAAAGTTTTTTATGCTGATCATTTTCTTTTTATACTGGCTCCAGTTTATAAGATACATTTTTTGATTTAAAAATACACATTTATTATTCCCAGAATTAGCAGGTTTTTACAAATCCTGCTTTTGATCTTAAAGGTACACAACAAGATTTTGTGCCAAAACACCACGCAGTCAGAACAGGGGAAAATTTGGAGCGCTTTCTACACCCAGATCTCAGAAGAATCCTGCAATTGTCCCATCGACTAAATAAATGACCCGGTGATTAAATTACAGCTCATCCCTTTGCAAGAGATGAATTGTAAATAAAGGCTCTGCGAACAAAGCTTCATATGTCAGACTTTCTGCCCAAACACTCCCGGTTCTTTCACATTTGTGAAAATTAGATCTTTCTGATATTCATATTATGTTTTTTTCGTGAAATGTTTCTTTTAGGTCATGAGCGAGATGAGTAGGATCTACAGCACCGCAACAGTTTGATACATTGTTTGATTTAAAAATATGCATGACATTTATTTACGCTTATTTCTTATTCAGAGTATTAGCAGGTTTTTACAAATCCTGCTTTTGATCTTAAAGGTACACAACAGGATTTTGTGCCAAAACATTTGATGTTGACAGGCTGAAATGGTTCAACGTGACACGTTATGAAGAGATGTCACTTCTTGTTAAACCACCAAAAGTTTTCCAGAATGAGATATCTATTTGAATCTGATAAAGCATCAAAGCATGACAGATTTCAGCAGAGTGAGGCTGAATGTTCCCTTTAGACATCATATCTGTAAACGAAAACTGATACACCCTCTGTTATTGCTCTGCTGTCCAAAGGCCAAGGCAGCTCAGCAGGTTAATAAAACTATATAAGTGTACTGTGAGCTCTCTTCTCAGAGTCATATTGTGTGGCGGATGAAGAAGCCAAGATGTCCGCTGGGATTCTTGTAGCGCTTCTGGCCGTGTCTTCGGCTGTTTCTCTGGTGACTGCTGACGTGGAGACTGAGGCCAGGTTGTTCCTGGAGAGGTTTGACCAGAATGCCAGTGAGAAGATGTACAAGTACTCACTGGCATCATGGGCCTACAACACCGACATCACTCAGGAGAACTCGGACAAAGTGGTACGTCCTTGAATGCTTTCACAGACTCATTTGTCATGTTGTCTCTAAACAGTATGTTTGGAAGTTGCTGATTAATATCTGTTGTTGTGCCACGCAGTCAGAACAGGGGCAAATTTGGAGCACTTTCTACACCCAGATCTCAGAAGAATCCCGCAATTATCCCATCGACCAAATAAATGACCCGGTGATTAAACTACAGCTCATCTCTTTGCAAGATAAAGGCGCTGGTGCTCTGTCTGAGGACAAAGCTTCACATGTAAGACTTTTTGCCCAAACACTCCCATTTCTTTCACATTTGTGAAACTTATATCATTCTGATATTTATATCGGGGTTTTTTTTTGCTTTGTTTTTTATTTTGTGAAATGTTTTCTGTAGCTCAGTAAGGTCATGAGTGAGATGAGTACGATCTACAGCACCGCAACAGTTTGCCTGAAAGATGACCCCCTAAACTGCCAGACTTTGGAGCCAGGTAACGTCTGTTATTTAAAAAGCTTCCTGGTGCTGACAAAGGTAGATAATGCCGTTATAAATTAACAAAATTTCCCAGAATCAGAAGATACTGAAAACTGCAATCCAGACATGCTCTGCTATGTTTTAAAGTGACTTAGTCTCACCTGAAATAATAGCACCCAGTTGTTTGGTATGTGACTTGAATGTTGATATACTAAACATATCCTGTTGTGAAAGGCGTTATATACATAATACTGGAACAAGTTGCATCACGCCCTACTTTTTCAGCCACTGAAAACTGTTATTTTTTCCATTGTGGGAATGTTTCCTTTGTGTTTTATTAAACAGTTAATTTGCATTCCTTCCTCTGGTATTTCTGCTTTTGTCTACACATCATCTAATACTGTCATCTCTTTCTCTTCTTTGTCTCCATCTTCTCATCCTGGAAAAGTTGATCATTTAGTGGCAGAGTTCAATAAATGTGAAAGTTTAAACACGTCTGTTGAAATGCCAGGTTTTCTTTTTTAATTTTTTTTTATGAAACTAGGCCAATATGCAAAATGTCATAGTTTCTAACCCTAGCCCTCTACATAACATGTAAAACAAAATAGTAATCAAGCACCTTATATTTTTTATGCAAACTAAATAAAACAATGTGGCTATATTGGTATTTTCATCCATTCATTAATTATGCAGAACCAGTGAGCACGGCACATCTTTACTTTGACAAATTTGTTCCATGTTTGTCCATTCTTCTTCTACATTTGTGTGTTTTGGGGTGAATTTAAATTTTGCTGGATTTCTATTTTTGGAACCATTAAAGATTTGACAAATAAATGGGTGATGGGAGCAGATTTTCCCGTCTCTGATTTGTCTCTTTTTTCTGCGTACAGGCCTGGAGTATGTAATGTCCAACAGCCGAGACTACGAAGAGCGTCTCCACGTGTGGGAGGGCTGGAGGAGGGAGGTGGGGAAGAGGATGAGGCCTCTGTACGAAGACTATGTGGATCTGAAGAATGAAGCTGCCAAACTTAATGGTAAATAATGATCTGAGAGAAAACATGAAACAAAACAAAAAAATACATGCAATGTTTTTATTGTGTTGATGTTGGAAAAGCTTCAGGATTTGAACTGAAAACAAATAAACTTCTATGATGGAATAAAACTGCTGAACTCACTGTAAGTGAGAGACGATAAAACAAAATCAGACAAGAACAGGAAGAGCTGATAGCATTTTATGTGATGACTTTGTGTTTGCTTCTGACCAGTCGGTCCTCACTGAGGCCTGATGTGTTTCTCAAAATGCCAGCCTGAGTTTGAACTTCAACGTTTTCCATTTCTTTTCATTCTCAAATCTGCAGGTTTTGAAGACTATGGAGCTTATTGGAGATACAATTATGAGACCCTCGATGAAGACGTTCCTTACAAGTACACCAGGAACCAGCTGATGGAAGACGTTCGCTCAATATACAAAGAGGTAAACAATACGTCAGTAACAATGAGAATGAGGTCCTGTTGACGATGTCAAAAAACTTGTGGTTGTTATTGCCATATATATATATATATATATATATATATATATATATATATATATTATATATATATATATATATATATATATATATATATATATATATATATATTTTTTTTTTTTTTTGTAGATCATGCCTTTATACAAAGAGCTGCATGCCTATGTAAGATCCAGGCTTATGGAGGTCTACCCAGGATACCTTGACTCAGAGGGACCCCTGCCCGCCCACCTCCTGGGTACGTTAATGTATAAGTTATGAACCCATAATATATTTAATACAGCATGTGTGTATCATTTCTTTCAGAGTAACACTATTCCCACAATTACAAATTTTTTATGCAATAATGTGTTTTTTAAGACGATGACATTTTCCCCATAATTTAGTTCAGAGTGAGAAACCCAAAGACAAACAAACCAAAAAATTACGTTTCTTTTTTTCATTGTTCTGTTTGAAGTCTTTCATTAGCATAGAGAAGTTAATAAACCTTTGAGTCCTCCATCCAAACATGTCAGAAATGTTTAAGTTATATAATTGTTTCTAATACGGGATTGAAGGACACCGATAAAAGTCTGACAAAAGTTCACCAGATATAGGATTCCCACAACAAGCAAGGGTCCAACAAGCAGAACGTCAGGATCGTTTCAAAGTCTGCTCAACTACGATCAACTTCTGAGTTCTGGAAAGTCAGAAGCTCTCAAAGAAGTAAAATGTCAATTTTTAGTAAAAAAAAGACTTCATGGCAAAAGGTCACTGTATAATCATATGAACTGACTTATGCTCCTTGAGATTCACACATTCAGTTCTTGTCAATTATTCCCATGTTTCAGTCATTAAATATTATATTGCTTGTGCTAGAAATGTAATACACAATCATTCATGTATGGGCTGTTTAAAGGAAGGATCAGGAAAAATGTGAAGTTTGGTAATATTATTTGAATTAAATTTTGCTTTTAGACCCTAAATCCTTCAAACTGTAATTCAGAACTGAAATGTTGACTCCCTCTGTTGGCCATGGTGTGTTAGGTATTTTCCTCGAACCTACAATAAAATAACCACAAACAACGTATATGAATTAAATATGGTCAGGCTTCTGCAGAAGGAGAAGTCTCCAATCAACAGCTCCTCCAATCTGCTTTCACGTGAGCTCCCTCTTTATTGTCAAAGAACAACAGTCACATGGTGCAGGTCAACATGGTGCAGGTCGTAAAACATTTAACACAAACAGACCAACAACTCAGTTCCAGGTGTGATATCTAATTTACAATCTAAGCCCAGTTCAGCTCTAGGTCAAACTGTCACCTAAGACCGGGTAGATAAACACCAGAGAAGACTTTAAGGTCTGAGAACCATAAAGCTTTACTATCTCGCATGAAGACATTCATAACCTCCAGGTCAGCCCATACACACGTAAGGAAGAGAACACTTTAACAAAATGATAATATCAAAAAATCTCTAACAGGTGTATCACAACTACTTTACAAAATTAAACATGAACCAGATTGATTTTTTTAAAGTGGTCTCAGGTTGAATTTCATTAATATAATAGTGTTCTGTTGTTGAAAGAATACATCAGGATCTACTTCAAATGTCTACAACAAAAAGAAAAAAAAAGGACAATATTAGGATGTTTATATTTTCTGTTCAGGTGACATGTGGGGAAGATTCTGGACCAACCTGTATCCCCTGTCCGTCCCGTACCCTGAAAAACCAGACATTGACGTCAGCAGCACTATGGTGGAGCAGGTGAAGTGCCAGTATATGTAAAATTGAAATAAAAACACTCCAGCGCATCTCAGCCATTCGTAAAATGAATAAATAACATTATCTTCTTGAATTTCAGGGTTGGGATGAAACACGATTTTTTAAGGAAGCAGAGAAGTTCTTTATGTCTGTGGGTCTCTACAAGATGTTTGACAACTTCTGGACCAACTCCATGTTGGTGAAGCCCAATGATGGACGGAAGGTGGTCTGCCACCCCACCGCCTGGGACATGGGAAACAGAGAGGACTTCAGGTGGGAGGAAGTGAAAAGCATGCGCTCCTTGACACACATTCACACAGATTTAAGTGCCAGTCTTACTTTCTATCATCTTATTTTCAACAGGACCGAAAACACAAAAGTTGTTGAGGAAGTGACTTTGATTAATTGCTGACTCACTCTTTCCTGCTGCTAAAGACAATCAAACTCTGGATTATAAAATATCAGTGCAGATAATTACCTCAGTAATTCACAGTGATAACATTTGCAGAACCATAAAATACTATATTTTATGACTCTACTTGTATCTGTCTGGGTAAATATTACTGAAGTAAGTCTCACCATAAAAACAACTATGTTTATCAGACTGAGCCCGTCGTGTTGCTGCTCAGATTGTTTTATTGCTTGCAGGGTGTTGTAAATGCATCACCCTGCGCAACTGCTGACACCCACACTTCTGCTGCTGCGTCTCCAGGATAAAAATGTGCACCAAGGTCAACATGGACGACTTCCTCACCGTGCACCACGAGATGGGCCACAACCAGTACCAGATGGCTTACCGCAACCTGTCCTACCTCTTGAGGGACGGAGCCAACGAAGGTTTCCACGAGGCCGTCGGAGAAATCATGTCGCTCTCTGCTGCCACGCCCAAACACCTGCAGAGTCTGGGACTTCTCCCTAGCGACTTCGTTTATGACAGTGGTATGTTCCGTATATGTTGACCCAGACACAAAATCAGCAGGGTTGTTTTTATTTAAAACAAAAACACAAACAAAGTTAGACATGTGAGAGGTTTTTTTTTAAATAAATTAAACCCCAGGAAAAAAAATCACCTCAATCTGCAATTCTTCTTTCAAAAATCTAATTTTATCCAGGTATTAAGGCACCTGTCTATTTAACTGATAAAGAATTCAAGTTTATTATTACTTCAGATATGTTTGATAAAACTTTAGGTCCCCACAAAACCTCACATTAAATGAGTGTTTCCTATTGGCTCTCAAGAGTCCTTGTTAAAAATGGCTTCAGCAACACTGGAAGTGTCAGAATAACATCACCTATCTGTATGTGTCATATCATTTATGTGCATAAAGATTAATGAGAATTAATGAGTGTTAAATCTTCTTTATTTGAGCAGTGAATCTATGTAAATGCACACAGATGCAACATTAACAGAAATGTCTTTGGTTTGGTTTCGATGTAGTTTTATGTTGACATATTGTATTTTGCCAGTTCACATCTTCCTTAGGTATGCATGAGTGTCTGTCATGTGACCAGGGAGCACCCTGCCTCTTGCTCACTGACCTCTAGACAGCAGCCTCTCCACAACTCAACATGGATGAGGCGCGCACGGAAAATAAAAAGAAAGAAAAATGATAGTTTCTGCCCTTCTTCCATTTTCTGCTCTGATTGTAGAGACTGAGATCAACTTCCTGCTGAAACAGGCTCTCACCATCGTGGCCACGTTGCCCTTCACCTACATGCTGGAGGAGTGGCGCTGGCAGGTGCTTGCAGGGAATATCACCAAAGATGAATGGATGAAGCGCTGGTGGGAGATGAAGTAAGCCTGTCGGATGATGCTCTGCCTCTTGTTCGTTTTCTGAAAATGACCTGGTCATAGTCCAAGGAAATATGTTAAACGTGGAATACCTGTTTTTGGTGGTGTGCAGTGAAGCACATGCCTAGCTGCATGTCTGTCAGTGTGCATTAGTGCTGATTCAGCGTTGTCCTAACAGGAGGGAGCTGGTGGGAGTTGTCGAGCCTGTCCCCAGAGACGAAACTTATTGTGACCCGCCTGCTCTGTTTCACGTATCTGGAGACTACTCCTTCATCAGGTTTGCTTCCAAGCTCCGCATAAAACAAATGAAAGCTTTACTTCGACTTTGTGTTTTCTTTCTATCCACTTTGTGGGCAGAGATGTTGTGGATTTAAGCATTTTAAAATCTCTCACCTGAAAATTAGTTTGCAGCCTCAAAATGGAACTTGGTCTAAGTTTCTACATATAAGAAATGTTCTTTTTAACTTGTCCAAAAAAGACCTGGTGTTCATCTCGTTTTGTGGAGGGAAGGATTCATAACACACAGAAGAGAGAATGACATGCTTTCATTTCAGACAAAAGTGTAACACAGACTCAGTAAGTGTATTTGTTCTTTTGTAGGTATTTTACAAGAACCATCTACCAGTTTCAGTTCCAGAAAGCGCTGTGTGACGCAGCTGGTCACACTGGTGACTTGTCCTCATGTGACATCACTGGTTCCAAGGAAGCAGGAACCAAGCTGAGGTATCTACTTCCTGTTTGTTGTTACCCCTGCTTGTTGTGCCCCAACTAAAGCATTTATATGTTGCACATGTTGCAACACACAGGAATCCTAAAATGATTAATGCTGTTTTTTTCTGTAGAAACATGTTGGAACTGGGGAGGTCTGAGTCCTGGACCAGGGCTTTGGAAACAATAGCTGGAAATGTAAGAATGGATGCTGGTCCACTGCTGGACTACTTCAAGAAACTGTATGACTGGCTGAAAGAGAATAACCAGAAACACAACAGGGCTGTTGGCTGGAAGACAACAGTGGATCCATGTGAGTGAAAACTAGATCGCCCTGGAAATTATTACGCTGTAAAACAGAGCAAAGTTTTCACAAAGAAAATTAAAATACTTGCCCATCTCCCTCCTAATAAATCACCTGCTTTTTAGCACCTACTTGCACAATTGTTTCTTATTTACATTTTTTTTTTTTAATGGAACATCTTCTCCCCTGGTTTGTTATTGATCCCACATTCACATCTGTTGCATCTGTTCTGCAGGCTTTATGCTTGACTAAACCAACTTTTTAACAAAGAGAGATTCAGTCTTTGTGACAAAGAAACGTTTAAGGATGCACGAGTATGAAAATGACACGAAGAGAAGAAACACTGGACATGAACTTGTTTTGACTGATAAAATCTTTTCATAACACATTAGTGACTAGAATGTGGTTTACATGGAGATACTTAGTGTGACTGGTTCGGAGGTTTAGTTATCAACCAGGTCAGTTGTATTATTAAACATACATGTATGAAAACGATCATAATTTTATACAATCATAACTTTTTTTTTTTTTTTTTTAACAGATTCGCAATATGCCACCAAAGTAAGAATAAGTCTGAAAGCTGCTATGGGAGACAATGCTGTGAGTATTATTGTGTTGAGCTGCAACAAACACAAAGTCCTCTCTGATTCTCTCTCTTTCTTTATCTATCTCTCTCCCTATGCATGGTACATATATGGTAATATTGTGCAAATATTCGTTTCAGTATTCCTGGAACTCCAATGAGATGTACCTCTTCAAGGCCAGCATCGCCTACGCCCTCAGGCAGTACTACAGCCAGAAAGACCAGAACCTTCCTTTCACGTCAGTATCCCGCTCCATCCTGGGGCTGTTTACCGGAGATAATAAACGCACCTTTTGAAACCTGGAGTCTGTGCTTTCTGTCGCTTACTCGCAGTGCTTTTCTATTCTTCCACTACCAGAGCAGAGAACATTCTCACTTACAAAGAAACCCCCCGGATCTCCTTCTACATGGTGGCCACCCACCCAGGAAGCCCCTCTACATACATTCCCAAGTCTGAAATGGAGGCAGCTGTCAGGTTAGCCACACGGACACAGATGTATTGTCTTGCAGTTCGGTAATCGAGTGGAAGCACCTCTAATCTGGTTTATGCAGGGCTGAAACCAGGTATCAGTCTAACTTTCTTCCTGATATCTTGGCTGATTTCTTTCCTCTTTTCCATGATACCTCAGGAAGCAGCATGTATCTGTTTGAATAAATTTTGTAAAATAACCTATAAGAGTAGACATAACAAGCTGGACCTTTCCATGTTCTTTAGAGGTATATGAATCTTGCTGCATGTACATGTCAAATTTTGAAGAAAGCACTAAAAAAGTCCACTTAAATGCTGAGTAAAATAAAATTACATGTATTGTTATACAGTGTATGCAAATACCTGTTTGCCTACAATTGTAAAACATAATTTTGCAGGACATTTTGTAACGCACACATTTATCTGTCAATGCAAGGTTAAATCGGGGTCGAATCAACGAAGCCTTCCAACTGGACGACCACACACTCGAGTTTGTAGGTATCGTACCGACACTGGCCCCTCCTGTACAGCAGCCAGTGGAGGTGTGGCTGGTGGTGTTCGGTGTTGTGATGGGACTCACAGTGTTGCTGGGCGCCTACCTCATCGTATCTGGTTTCAGGGAGCGCAAGAAGTGAGTGTTGTTTTCAGCAAACGTCCATTACGCCAACCCGTAACTTTTAAAGAGGTGAAACATTCGCTGCTTCTTCTGCCTGCAGGAACCTGTCAAAGCCGCCTGCGGAGAATCCTTACAGCATAGATGTTGATGGGATTAGTAACGCTGCCTTTGACGATCTTGACACTGGACTTTAAGGAGCCAAGGAAGTGAGAAAAGTTGAAGCTCAGAGCGTCTGGACTCACAGTCAGTTCTGTGTGACTTTTCACAAACATTAAATGTGAATCCATGTGGAGATTTCAGTATTGTAAAAATGCTCAGAGGCAAAATAAAAACAAAAACAAGACAGCAGGCTTAACCTCCAAAGACTTTAATATTTATTGACTTTCAATCATGACAATAATTCAGTAATGATGTTGCATAATGTATTCTTAATTTTCTTTAAGTTTTTAAAACACTTTGTGGTTCAGTGACATTTCTATATATTAACATAATGAAGGAGTAAATATTGTTTAAAAGTACTGTGAAGCTGTGAACATGATAGGAGTTTGTTAGTAAAATGTAATTCAGAGGTTTTTGTTTTTCTGTCAGTTTCCATAATGAGGTTAAGCTGAACTTTACCTCATTATGGTGAACTTTGATTTCAGCACGTCTTCTTTTCATGCAATTTGTAATCTTAAGAGTGTAACATACGCTGTCATTCTTGATCTAAATTACTGGTTGACGCAGAATATGCACAATTTGTTTGAACATGTAATTTCATTTCAAGTTTTTTTTTTTTTTTTTTTTTTGGAGTGCAAGGAATTTGATTTCATTTAAATAAATGTCATAGCTACAATAGTAATAAAAAAGGTTTTATCAATATTTTTGCTGCTACAATAAATTAAAATGGGGGAAAGTGCAACAACTGCTCCAATGAACTGCAGTATGCCTAAAATAATTCTTCAACTTTTGGAACAAAATACAATTTATCAATGCAACGATGGTGGTCAACCCTGCTCTGATTGGCCAGACTCAATCAATCCTTATCTGACAAAATGTGCATTTTTTTGTGTGTAAATTAAAATACTTCTATGAAAAGGCCATTGTTAAATATAATAATATTTATAAGGTCAGTTTTTATGTCTCAGCTGGTAAAGATCTGCAGTCGTGACATATAATAAAAAAACAGGTCATATAAAAGCATTAATTGGATGTCATAAGGACTTTCAAGATAACATGAAATTGTTGCAAATAAAACTTACATATGGTCAAAGGGGAAAACCACAAATTTATCATAAAAAATGTTGTTTGAAAGTCACTTTTTTCCAAATAATTTGAAATATTAATCATATAAAACAACAAAAAATGTTAAACTGAGCGATAGTAAAACAACCATATGACACGTGTCCACCAAGTCAGAGCTTCACACAGATAGTTTTTATCACATAACCAGATGGGATGAACAAAAAGAGCTTCTGTCAGGTCTCAACATTTTATTTACAGTGTGGCGGCGAAAAAGTGAGTATGAGAGTGTAGAAAACGACCCCGTCTCACTTCTGAATGATAAAGAGGAACGATGAATCTCCCGATTCTCCATCTGTCTCAGCCATTTCCACCAAATCAGAGTTGGCTATGTGGATGAACCAGCCTTTGTGGAGCGCAGACTCAAATTTTCGCTGTTTTGTGCGGTCAGACATCATGTAGAAGACAAAGGAGAAGGTGCACTCGTCATTCTTGGAGATCTGCCTCAGTCTCTGCTTTTCACACGTCTATGGGTAGAAAACGGAAAACTACTGTCGGTTTGTGGAATTCAAGTTAGAAATAAAATTAATTGGCTTTGACGAAATATTGCTTGTATTGGCTTCACATCACGTTGTTGTAACTGTTGTAGAAGCACGGATACGGCGGAACAAAGAAGCCCTCAACTGATCTGCTTGAGAATAAATAATGAAGCATATTTATCTGTCTACACATATTTAGATATATAAATATTAATATATCTTATGGGTTTTTTTTTACTCAACCTAGGGAAGATGGAATACATCCTTCTACTGAATGTTTGAATGTGTTTTTTTTGTTTTTTTTTGTTTTTGTTTTTGCTTCAAACGTTTGCATAGGTCATTAGTTTAAGAATTTCTCAAATTACAACAAATTCGGTTGAGAAATTTAGTAGTTTTTTTTTCGTATGCAATGTCAAAACAGAACATCACAACCAAGAAATTGGACAGTCGGTAAATCTGCTGAATTGTGTCACACCAAGGATGTCAATAGTCATCTTTGGTGGGGTTTTTTCACATTTACTTCAGTTTCCACATAGAGTTCAGAAGCATGCATGCTAGGCTACGTTATGGTGATTCCAAACTAACCTTATGAGTGAGTCCAGTTAAACTGTGGCACACTGATGCATGCGCACATCCATAGGGGAAAATAGGGATATTGAGAAATGCCAAACTTTATTTTGATTCTGTTTCTGTAGCCTGCAAAACAGTAATCTCCATTCACAGAGGAACAGGTCTCAGAAACTGGTGCATAAAATGAGCTGTGCAGGAACGGTTCTTGCTCAAAGAACAAAACCAAAACAGTGGATGAACTCACAACAAATTATGCTATTACTTTATTCTGGGCCCAAAAAATCATTTTGGCCCCATAAAAGAAAATATGAATATGTGCAACTCGCACATATTATCATTTGATATTATATATATATATATATATATATATATATATATATATATATATATATATATATATATATATATATATTATATATATATATATATATATATATTATATATATATATATTTATTTATATATTATATATATATATATATATATATATATATATGAGACCCAATACCCCCAATACCCACCATTGTACCCTTGTATCCACAAGGGTACAATGAAGACCAGTACCCAGAAAGTACAGGCAGATGCCCATACCTGAAGCACTCGAACTGCCAAACAGAGGCTCCAAGCCTTGGCCAGCCGCCTAAAGAGATACACAAGGGAGAATGAATCCAGAAGGATTAACCGGCTCTTCTCCACTCAACCAGCTAAGGTGTACTCTCAATGGCAGGGTAATAACAACAGAGCAGACCCACCAAGGCTGGAGACTGAAAAATACTGGAAAGGCATATGGGAAAGGGAGGCGTCCCACAACAGCAATGCACAGTGGCTGATCTCTCTACGAGAGGACCACAGCAACCTCCCTGAGCAAGCCCCGGTAACCATCACTGTGACAGATGTTCAAGAAAGACTCTCAGGCATGAAAAACTGGACAGCACCAGGGCCTGACATGATCCATGCCTACTGGCTAAAGAAACTCACTGCTCTCCATGAGCGACTGGCAGCCCAAATGAACCAGCTGCTACAAAGTGGGACTCACCCTGAATGGTTAACTGAAGGGCGGACAATCCTAATCCAGAAGGATCCATCAAAGGGTCCAGTCCCACCCAACTACCGACCAATAACCTGCCTCTCCACAACCTGGAAGCTCATGTCAGGCATCATAGCGGCCAAGATAAGCAAACACATGGATAAACATGAGCACGGCACAGAAGGGTATCGGTGTAAATACCAGAGGAGCCAAACACCAACTTCTCGTAGACCGCACAGTTGCCCGAGACTGCAAAACCCGACACACCAACCTGTGCATGGATCGATTACAAGAAAGCCTATGACTCATAGGATCATTGAATGCCTAGAGATGTATAACATCAACAGGATTCTGAGAGCCTTCATTGCAAACTCGATGAAGCTGTGGAAAACCACCCTTGAAGCCAACTGCAAACCACTTGCACAAGTGTCCATCAAATGTGGCATATACCAAGGAGATGCTCTGTCCCCGCTACTGTTCTGCATAGGCCTGAACCCCCTCAGCCAAATTATCAACAAGACTGGCTACGGATACCAACTCAAAAATGGGCCAACATCAGTCACCTCCTCTACATGGATGACATCAAGCTGTATGCCAAGAGTGAGCGAGACATCGACTCACTGATCCACACCACCAGGATCTACAGCACTGACATTGGGATGTCATTCGGACTAGAGAAGTGTGGTCGGCTGATCACAAAGAGGGGGAAGGTGATCCGCACAGAAGGAGTCTCACTCCCACAAGGAACAATAGCAGACATAGAGGACAGTTACAAGTACCTAGGTATACCACAAGCAAATGGCAACCTCGATGAGGCCACAAGGAAAGGAGCCACAGCTAAATACCTCCAACGAATAAGGCAAGTCCTGAGAAGCCAGCTCAATGGCAAGAACAAAATCCGTGCGATAAACAGCTATGCCCTGCCAGTAATCAGATACCCTGCTGGAATAATTAGCTGGCCAAAGGAGGAGATAAAAGCCACAGATATTAAGACTAGAAAGCTACTAACCATGCATGGAGGGTTCCATCCCAAATCCAGCACCCAGAGACTGTACACGAGCCGCAAGGAAGGAGGCAGAGGACTAGTGAGTGTGAGAACCACTGTCCAGGACGAAACAACTAAGATCCATAAATACATCAGGGACAAAGCCTCAACAGACAATGTGCTCAGTGAATGTCTCAGACAACAGGGAACGGAGGTTGAGGTGCCAGAGATACCATCATGGGAGGACAAACCCCTACATGGATGTACCACCAGCAATAACCCAAGTGGCTGATATCAGTAAATCCTACCAATGGCTGGAAAAAGCTGGACTCAAGGACAGCACAGAGGCCCTCATCCTGGCAGCCCAGGAACAGGCCCTAAACACCAGAGCAATAGAGGCCCAGATCTACCACACCAGACAAGACCCAAGGTGTAGGTTGTGCAAGGAGGCCCCTGAGACAGTCCAGCACATCACAGCAGGGTGCAAGATACTGGCAGGGAAAGCGTACATGGAGCGACATAACCAAGTGGCAGGCATAGTGTACAGAAACATCTGTGCAGAATATGGACTGGAAACCCCAAGATCAAAGTGGGAAACACCCCCAAAGGTGGTGGAGAACGCCAGAGCTAAGATCCTGTGGACTTCCAGATCCAGACAGAAAAATGGTAATGGCGAACCAACCAGACATTGTCGTAGTGGATAAACATCAGAGGAAAGCCGTTGTGGTAGATGTAGCAATACCAAGTGATTGCAACATCAGGAAAAAGGAGCACGAGAAACTGGAGAAATACCAGGGCCTCAGGGAGGAACTGGAGAGGGCCTGGAAGGTGAAGACCACAGTGGTGCCTGTGGTCATCGGGGCCCTCGGGGCAGTAACCCCCAAACTGGAGCAGTGGCTACAACAGATCCCAGGAACAACATCAGACATCTCAGTCCAGAAATGTGCAGTCCTTGGCACAGCCAAGATACTGCAGGACCCTCAAGCTCCCAGGCCTCTGGTAGAGGACCCGAGCTCAGAGGATAAGAACCACCCGCGGTGGGTGAGAAGGAATTTTTTTTATATATATATTGGGGGCTATTTTACTAATTAAAAATACATTTGGATTTTTTTTTAATTTAACAATTTTAATAACTTTATTTTATTTTTCGTTTTGAATCCACAAAATCCTTTTTTTCTTTTCTCCATGCAGCTTCAAGAAGTCTTCCCTCAGTTTTGCGAGTGCGAGTTGCACATATTCATCCGACCACTTTCTTTTTTTTTTTTTTTTTTTTTTTTTTCTTAACATGTTTAGTATGGATTCAACTATTGAGAAAGAAACCACAAGACGTACAACTACGACAGCTGTTGAATACCGCGGGCACTAAATTCCCTGCAGCACTGATTGGCCAAGCAATGTCACGTGATCCTCTGCAGCAAGCGACGGCCAAGCTGGGCGCGTCGTCACGATTTTACACAGGTGTGTCTTTATCTTCACGCAGAGGCTCCGCCGAACCCCTGAGACTAAGCAGTGTGGTTATAATGTTTAAAACAAATGCATGGTTACATGTGGATGTAATGGGCACTGCACCTATGCTCTTGTGCTCATCATATTTTTTTTACTTGCTGTTTGGATGCAGATTTATTGCTCTTATTTATTTATTTATTTTTACCTCAGTTCAATCCAGGGCTAAAGAGTGGAGACATGGTTATTTTCCTAAATCACATTCGGTCATTTTAAGTTGAAAACTTTAATGCTCCAATAGCGCGCCTTGCATGCTAAATCCCAATGAAAAAAAAAAAAAATCTTCCAAGCCAAAAAAAATCAATTATTTCCGTATAGTTTTACCTCTGTCTGTAGGAGCACCCTGTCTCCTTCCTTGTAGCACCTGAGAAAGCAATTGGAACCAGTGAGATTTAGCACCACTGCAATTCCTCTGAACTTCTTATCCATGGCATTCGACTTGTAATAGTAGATAGTGATCTTTTCTGAGGATGAAAGGAAAGCAAAGAGGCATCACAAAAAGTAACATCGATTGGTGGGAAGCAGGTTGTTTGGAAGATGCATTGCTCTGAACGACAGACCTGGATTTGGTGAAGAGGTGACGGTCTTTTCCGAGCAGATAGTTCTGAGGTAGCGATGAGTGGGCACATGTTTTATCAAGACTTCTACTAGCTTTTCCTGCCTGAAACTTACATCTCCTCTGGGAACTGAAAGTGACCGAGGAAACAGAGAACATTGACCTGTCTTTGGTTCATTTGGGGTTTTTTTTTTGTTTCGTTTTCTTCGGTCTGTTAGAAAGCACCAAAATGATCCCATGTAATATAAAAGTAACAATATTTACATAAAATAACACAGACAAAAAATGCTGCTTCAAGATCATACATGGACTAAACTTGTCTGCTGAGACAATATCCTTCAATCACTCAGTTCACATCATAAATTTTTTTACTTTAAAATTAAATATCGGCTCCCTTAAACAGAACTAAATACAGTGAACTTGGACACAAAGGCGAAGGGAGAAGTGAAACCTTTGAACTCACCCAATGTCACTGTGCTGGATTCTGCCACCATCACGATGTCATTGACGGTGCATCCTGTCTCCTCACATTCACTACAACCCCTGGTTCCCACCACAGTGATGCTGGTGTTGGTCATGTGAATTACAAGGAGGTCTCTGCTCTCCCCATTCTCCTTGCACACATCTTGGCACACATTCTCCTCTGAATCTGTTGTCCCGTTTTTCTCCCCTTCTTCGGCGTCTTCCTCTCTCGTCAACTCCCAGGAAAAACTCAGGACAGTGGACTCCTTGTCGTAGGGCTGCAAGGTGTCCTCATCTAGGGGCAGCTGCTCCTCCTTTTCAGGCTCTATTTCTCTCTTCTGCACTGACTGAAGAAACAAAAATGTCTTTCAGTGCAAATGCCCACAGAAGTTCATCGCATTTAAAATGGCTGTTCATGTCTCGGTGACACCAGAGAAAGAATTTAGTTTTTTGTGCAATTTCTTAGCCCATTTTGAATAGATCAGTACAAAGTAGTGCCCAACCATGTCATGGTAGGAAATGAGAAATGGTTTGCAAAGGTTTTGACAGATAAAAATCTAAAACTACGGCATGCGGTTTCATTCAGTTTTGCCATGTATTCTCCTTTGGCCTGGACATTTACTGCACTACAGTATTCTTCAATCTAAACCAGGGGGGCTGTAGATTGCTCCTGGACAGCTTCCGTCCATAAAATAAACTGAATTTCCTCTTGAGGACACTCGACATCCCTCATCTAAACCGTACAGTTACAACTTTGGCTGCATCTTCAAGTGTATTACAGAAATAGGAAGGGGGATCAAAATGTATTGCCTCCCATTTTACAGCGACCTGCTACTTTCTGTTGGTATGTCGAATGAAACACAACAAAATACATGGAAACTTCTAAAACATTTAAGGTTTATAAAGTACAGGTTTTTTTTGTTTGTTTTGTTTTTCTTTGTTTGGAAGGAACTGTACTGGAGCCAATTGGCATACCAGCAATGGATTTCCTTCGGAGATCGTTTTGGCCAGCTCCTCAGGTTCTAAGTCCTGGAGATCAACTCCATTTATCTCCATCAGCTTATCGCCTCTTCTGGAGAAAAATGAAAAGGAAAAGTTCAAGAAATTATATTACTGTTAGAAAAATATTTTGAAAATTTTTAAAATAAATCTTTGATTAAAAGAAATATTTCAGACAACACAATTAATGCAGTTTAACCAAAAAGTTAGCTGCAGATAAAAAAATATATATGTCACAACTGAAACCTAATCCTGGCTCCTTCATTGAGCCAGTCTTGGCTCAATGAAAAACGAATGAAAAAATGAAAAATGCATTCGTATTTTTGCTTTAAAAACAAATGCATAAATAAATTATCTCCTAGCTCAAAAGATAAAGACCTACATACTGACAGATAAAGCAACATCGCTTCATTGCAACTTTTTCTTAATTTACAAAACAATCTTAATGCTGCAGAGCCTTATGATATTAAGTCTTATGGTCCTAAATCTGATGCACAGCCATAAATTAAACACACTTTCACTATGACAGAATCATTGACTCCAATCAACAATTTTTTAATGTTTTCACATGAATCAAGCTGTTTAGAGAAAAGATTATAACTCATACCTTATGAACATTTTCCTTCCAGTTTGGTTTTTGTACTTCACCACTTCTCCCACTTCATAGTGGTGCTTCCCCTCATGGAGTTGGTGTCGAATCAACACACTCCCCTTAACAGTGGATCCCTGTAATACATGAGCAAAAATCTTCCAATTCTTTCAACTCAGTCACCAGTGTGAACAAATGCAGCACAGCGGGGTTCTGTGTTAAGTTAACCTACATCCATGTTCATGTTGGAGGCTGAGTCTCCGGCTGATGTTGTGGAGGACTGAAGGAAGCCGATGGCGACAGCCAAGCGTAAAAGCTTCGGTGTCAATTGAACTGCTGAGGACAATGGGGAAGCAGATATGGGAGCCCAGGCAGTTGGGAAACAGGAACCGATCTGTAAAGAGGAAGTAATTTCAATAAACATTCACTGAAGAGAAGGGGTCGTGTGGAATTGACTAAGAAAACAGAACTTATTAACTAAAGAACAATAATAATGAAAAGCTGTTTCATTAACCGCCGCCAGCAGACGAGGTTCCCAACGAAGTGATCCTAACACCCTCTTCAACACTGCACTGGAATGTGCTGCTAACAAATAAAATAGAGAACATCTCAAAAGAAACCAGCCTTCATTTTGAGAGGTTGTTTTGCAAGCACTCGAAATAAGGTAACCGTAAGTCACTTTTACAGAACCAAAGCAGAAAAGAAGAAATGAGAATGTATCTTGCATTGTCTCAGATTGCATGGTAAATATTGAGGAAATATTACTGTACTTCCTCTTTAGGCTTCAGTCACAGAAGGTGAACTTAAAACTTATTTCTATGTTTTATTCTATGGTTATTGCTCAAGCCAATCAAAAGTGGTCGGGAGGAGTTTGCAAGGTCCAACTTATAATATCAGTGTGATTGAAGTACGGTTTTTCATCAGTCCGTCAAAAAGATTATATCTGTTCATCACAAAGCACAAACTGAAATGAGAGGAATGCATTTATTTTTCATCAAAGAGTGTTCGAGGCGCTAGTGGCGCTTTTTATTTTTATTTTTATGGTAGACAGACAAAAAAGAGGGCGAGGAGAGGGGGGAAGACATGCAGCAAAGGTCGCCGGGACCGGGAGTCGAACCCGCGTCGAGGTTTGAGGCTTCCAAACGTGGGGCGTGCTAAGAATCCAGAAAACTGGATTCACAAAATGTCATCAACTCTGATTGTGTGTAGGTCAATAGCAAAATAGTAATAGTAAAACAACAGCAGAACTTAAGTTTATAGTAATATTTCTCAGGTTAGTTCAAAATCTTTCTTACCACCAAGAAAGATTTTACAGATTGGCATGATTTTTTTTCTATTTTCAATCAATGGATTTTTATGTGCCATGTGCTGGCACATTAAAATCAACATGCAGTCATGTTCTGCCTGTTTTTGCATCCCTCCATCTTCTCATACACACTGTTTTCCTGAATTAGAAGCATCATACATGGGATTTTCCTTGCACTTTCTTCTGATTGTGAAATGTACCTATGCATTGTTGTGTCATGAAAACAAGTTCCAGTCTTTGAACCATGAAAGGAGATGAAGAACTTGAGGAAATTTGCGCCATGTAAACTTTAAGGCCTTGGTGCTCTTTAATGGGGATTTTTTTCTTCTTTCTTGGCAGTGAATGTAATAAAGGAGACGGCAGATATTTCTTAGAATGTTTTGATGTGCTGATACTGGAGAGCTTGCATGTGTTACTAAATTTATTCAAGCACATTTACAGAAGTTAATTTGGGATTTCCCTGCTGAGCCAGGGAAGTCCAAATGGGAGAGGCTTGAATTACATGAGAGACATGTGTTGCAAAGCGTCAAGTCTACCACTGTCTCCTGCATAATGCATGTCTTGAAGAACCTCAAACGTTTCCTCCAAGCCGGTGAAAAGTGACAAGTCTGCCAGGTACTGCACTGAGATTCTGCATGATGGTGTTATTTTGTTGCATAATGGATTTTTTTTCTGATATATGATCGGGGGGGTCAGGTGGACAGATTAGATATTATTACTGAAAATAAATGTGTTCATTTTAAACCACTTTTCTCGCTGATCAAATTAAACCACCAGTGAGTGAGTGGGCTTCGGATTGGGGAGATTTTATGACTCAGTTGATGAACTAGCTCTTAAAGTTCAACTGTTTTCCCTCATCTGGGTTCTAGCAACATAAGGACTCATGTCCTGTTGTCTGTTCCTGTCTTGGTTTCAGATAGACATGCTCGATGTGTTAATAATAGGAGCTGGCCCCCATGCCTTGACCTTGGCGAGCTTGCTCAACAGACTCGACTCTGATCAAGAGTCTGACCTCGAAGACGACTCTCGTATCTCCAATCCCCCTCTCTCAAACCTTGAGACGTTCAAACACAAATGCTGTAATGAAAGAAGAAAGAGGAGGACAACTGCAGGTACAACATGTTTGCTTTCCTTTATTAAAGAAGAATCAGGAATATACATTTTTAGAACTATATTAGAGTCCTAAACCTTGTCACATGTTTTGGTAATTTTAACTAGTTTTGATTTTCTTTAACAATCGACATTTATTCTGTAGAAAATAATGCAAAGGAAGGAGACACAATAAGATGAACACAACATTTTAATAAATAAATTACCACTTTTTTATTGGTTATGTAGAAATGCTCACCTGCTGCCTGAAAAGGTTTTAATGACTTAAATTGGCAAGAAACTGCAATGATCATTAATTAGACAAGTTAGAGAAGAGAAAGAGAGACAAGTGAACCAAGTGGAAGAAGTTGAGTGGGAAGCTAAAAGATTAAACTAACTGAGGTAAACTAATGTGAGGAATGACTGCAAATACCAGGGAATTTCAGAATCTCTCAGAACCCAGCATTGTATAATTCAACCTACAGACCAAAACTACAGAAACAAGAATGAAAAACAAATAAGGAACTAGAAGGACACAAAGGATGTACAGAATTAAAACAGGAACTGGTTAGAGATAAGAGATTAACAAAAACTAAAGCCAACAGAACCTTAATGAAAACATAACTCTAAAAGTTCAAAATGCAAACGTGCAAAGCAACCATAAAGTCCTTTGCACTACAACATGATTCCCTGGATCACCTTAGTCTCTGGGCAAAAGCTAAACTTTCAAAAATAAAGAAGGTTTGTGTCAAAAATCACACAGGATCACTGGCACCACATCATAAATCTGCAATAAATGATAAGAGAAAAAAATGGTTTGTATTAGGACATAATCTCTTCTCTCTGAGTTCCAGAAATTACCAGATGGTTCTCTCTTCAGGTTCCCTTTTGTAAAAATCAACAGATTCAGACAGTATTTTGTTTCCAGCGCAATGTCTCTGCTGAACCCCCTGGTTCTGTGTCGCCAGCGTGGTCATGGCTCAAGGCATTTAATGAGGTTGCTATGCTTTCAGATCATGCTGCTCAGAAAACCAAGAAGAAACTGAGCAGGTTATCCTTGTATTTTCAGATTTAATTTACATTAACCTGGTGAATTATGTTATGGTTTTTAAAGTTTAACCAGGGGTTATTATTTACCTTGTAGCTTTTTTTTTTATTACAGCACATGGGCGATGCATGAACGACAATGCTTGTCCCTGACAAATAAAAAATTTCGATTAAATATATTTTTTTCATGCTTAAAAAAAGTTGTTTTCTCATATAATTATTGTTGTCCCCCATGTCATAATTTTTCTGTTGTACAAAAATTAAACAAACATTGGCTCAAAAGCATACATCATTCATCTCTGCAGGACAGATGACTGAGGAGCAGAAAGAAAAGCCAACAATATCAGAAAGCAATGTTTGCCCCCCACTCAGTGTCCTGGTGGTGGACGCCTATGGAGAGTGGGCCGGTCTGTGGGAGAGCCAGTTCACAGCTCTGCACATCCCTCACCTTCGCTCTCACACACTGGTGCACACGGACCCTTTAAATAAGGTATTATCATAACTTCCCCTGAAGTGGAAATGAGGAATACAAATACAGCCTGTATGTTTTTTATATGACAGAATGCGCTTCAGGAATTCGTTCTCAGGTATGGTCGTTCAGCAGAGCTTCACAGCCTTCCGGACCACGTTCAAATTCTGGATGAAAACGCGTTCTTCAATGACATGCGGCTTGGCAAGAAGGAGAGGAGACGTCTGAACGTCACGTCAACGCTGAAGAAGAGTTTGTCCTTCAGCCTGCCAGGAACCAAACTGAGCGTGGATTTTTTTAAAGAACAGGTCAGAAAGATATTTTCCACAAAAAGATGTCTCTTAAAGTTACTTCTGTCTCTCTGAAGTAGCTTCACTTCATAAAAAGGTTGCAAAACTATTGTTTTGAGGCACAACATCGCAAGGTATTATTTTATAAAATTATTTTATCCTATGAACTTCAGTCAAACTTTCTGCGTGTTGAGAGATTTCAAGACACACAAATCATTTTTGTATTTTGTTAACTTGCAGGTGAAGAGATACAAATTGGACAAAATTCTGCTGAAGGGAACAGTCGAACACATGATCCCGGTGACTGGGGACACAAAAGGAATGGGTGAAGAACAGGAAGCCCAAAGAGAGAGTCAACAGGTGAAAGTTGACCCAAGAAAGAAGGTTGAACATTTTTGCGTTGAACTTCAAGACGGCAGCATCTTAAAAGCCCGGCAGGTTGTTTTGGCAACAGGTCCAACCCGTGTTCAAATGTCCAACATTCCCGAATGGGTAAAAAACATTGAGGAAAGTTACCCAGAGGGGCGACTGCAACACACAGTCCATCTCATTCACAAGCCGCCAAACTCTAATCAAAGACTCCAAGAAATGGATTGTCAAGGACAGAAGGAGACTTCTTCTGGTCAAGGTAAGACAGATTCCTCCTTTGAATAGAGCGAACTTTAAGGTTATAACTTTTACTCTCTGAATGTTTCTTTTTGAAAACATTGTTTTAAGCCTAATGTTAAGTCTTGCTTTTACATGAAAGCGTTTGAGTTATTCTGAAGGTTGACACTGGTACTGATCTATGGAGTTCCTTCACAAGAATTGTATGACTATGTGTGTCCATTGCATGTAGTATGTGAGGCAGGACAGAGAGTAATGGTAGTGGGTGGAGGTCTGACCAGTGCTCATGTCGTATCAATTGCCCTGCAGCAAGGGGCCGACCACGTCACATGGGTCATGAGAAAACACCTGCAGGTCTAGTGACTGTGTGAAACAGCATGTGGATCAACTAATAAAAGCAACACTGCGATGGTACAATTGATCCTCAAACACAGCCGTGTTCAACCTTCCTTCCGTAGCTGAAACAGTTTGACGTTGGTGACGTGGAGAGCCTGGTAGGCCGTTACTCCCACGTGGAGCACGGCATCAAGATGGATGGCCAGTCCTACCTGAGGCAGTTCTACAACGAACGCAGCCTCCACAAACGACTTGCTATGATTCGGCAGGCGAGAAAAGGGGGCGCCATCACTCCAGAGGCATACATCCACCTGCAGCCATTTATACAGAGCGGACGGGTGGAGCTGAAGACATTCTGCCAGGTAATGCAGCCTGTAAATGCAGATGTGTGACAACTTTGAATAAAACTGACGCTGTAAAGTCAGAAAATGTGCAGAACATCACAGCTTTTTCTGGTCATACTCACGAAACAAACTTTCACTACGTTTTTTGATAGATGACAAGGCATGCTTTTCTGTCATACATGCTCTTTTCTTTGCTGCTCACTGATTTCCTGCTGAGTGCTATTGGATTGGCTCTGAAAACTGTTCATGTGGCTGATAAATGAATGCCTGGATGAACATATTGAGCATTATATGAGCTGACTTTGCCAGTTGAAGTCAATAGGTTTATTCATGAACTAAGGTTAACTTGAACTGGGCAACTGTACAGGTGAACGAGGCCAGCTGGTGCTACAGGTCCCAATCCTGGAATCTGTCTCTCAGCACCAGAGACCAATGGACCGGGGACAGGATCTGGCTGGCCACCGGTTGCAAACTTGACGTCAAACAGGATCCACTGCTTTCTGACGTGATGAAGGATTTCCCAATCCAGGTGAGCTACGTTTCTAAACTAACTCTTGTGTTACAATTTTGGAATTTAGTCCCAATTGGACAAACCTTTAAGTTTATTGATATGCATCTGGGTTTTCCACTTTAAAGGTGATTGACGGGTGGCCTTGTATACTGGAAAGCTTACAGTGGACTGAAGGATGCCCACTCTATCTGATGGGACAGTACTCTGCTCTTCAGGTAGGCAAACATTTTTGCTGCATTTTCCAAAGCAAATATTGGTTTCTGAAACAAGCTGTAGAGTTTCTCTGAGTTAAGGAGCATTCAGTCTTACATATTCCTTCACAGGTTGGTCCTCATGCTGTAAATCTGGCTGGTGGACAGGCTGCCAGCGTCAGAATTGCCAAGAACATCATGCACCATCAGATGCAGGCCGGAGGACGGGATTCTGAAATGGGAAGAGAGAAATCCAAAACTGAAGAATATATCCAGCAGATGAAAGGACTTTTCTGGCTTTAGTGTTAACCAAACCCTTCAGATGCAATTGCTTGTGAGATTAATATAACGTAATAAAATAAATGGTATGAAAGTAAAACACCAAGCTTGCCCTATCCTGTGCAGGCAGAAAAAGACTTGCGGACTGAAATGACATAAAGAAAAAAGAAAACAAAATCAGATATAGTATGGTGAACTTCACCTTTCAGTGTTTTCAAACTTATTTTTAAAATATTTACTTATTTAACTGTTGTGCAATTTATGTGTTATTTTGATTTTCTTGTGATTGTTCTGATTTCAGTTTTGTTTTCCTCGTGGTGTATTATTGTGTCGCTTGCCCTTGTTTGAAAAAAAAAAAAGACCAACAGAACAAATAAGATCCCACTCCTTAAAATACAGTTTGGTGATTCTTTCATTTTTTTTTTTTTATTTTATTAAGAATGACATCATTTTTGTAAAACGTATGCTCAAATTAATACCATCTATAAAATCAGCTATTTAAATGCATTTCAATTAAAAAAAAATGCCTTTTTTTTTTCAACTTTTGCTGAATCTTATTTTTCTTCTTTTATCTTGACCGTCGTGTCTTAAGCTCCGCCCCCATTTCCTCACTTCCGCCTTCTAATCCTGGGAGGTTAAATTTACAGGAATTATTTGGGTTTTGAGCATAAGAAGCGGGGAAAGCGGACAGGTTTTCAGGCAGGTGAGCGGATTCGCAGTTAAAACAGACGTTTCAGTTTTGTTGCTGGACATTTCGAACCACGGAAAACCGGAACCGTTTCGACTCTACATTGTTGCTTCATTGAGCACAGCTGAAGCGTCTGGTGAATCTTAACGAGCTGTTTGTGGCAGCAGGTGTGTCTGCGGCCGCAGTTTCAGGAAACCTCCGTGGTTACGCAGCGTAACTTGGGCGCAAATGGGGAAGTGACGCCGAGAAAAGGGTGCACGTCCAGGAGAGACGACGTGACAACTTCTGCGTCTCTGTTGTGACATTATTATAAGCGTGTTTAGTGTTTCAGAAACTGAAGCTGCTCATCAGCAGCTGTGACGCTGGTTCATCCACTATTTATCAATGACTTCATACCTTTAGGCCAGTGCTGGGTTGAATTAATCATCATATATTACTTTGAATCAGTTTATTATCTGAAAACGTCTGATCATACGTCACACTTACCTCATGAGGGTTGTAATAATCAGTAGCCTGTCAATACAATATGTATGTCTATAACTGTGGAAAACAAAGGTGCCATGCAACTGTCATCAGTAAAAAGTATTACCATATAAAAGTGTTAAGAATTGTTTTAGCACTGGACTTTTCTTTGTGTAAGTTTTTCCACCATCGATGTATTTTTGTATTGTTTTAATTAGTTGATTCAAAATTCCTTCTCAATTCAATTCAGGAGAAGCCCAAGTGCATCGTGTGGTACTAGTGTTGCAGCTTGAGAACCATGGATTAAAGTTACAAGGACAGATGTAAATGGTTGTCATAAGTGTACTACTGTATGTTTTGCAGTGTCTCGCGAAATTCTGCACAAAGAAGATGATTGTGAGGAAGCTGCTGAAGGCCATTCTCAGCGTGGAGCAAGCAGAGGGAGCCGGCGCCCGGGTCCGGAGGAGCATTGGCAGGAAGGAAGTGAGTTCGGGGAAAATTGGATCGGTTGTACAATTCAAGAGTAACACTTATGCATATTCCCTATGTATTTTACTTGAAGCTGAGCAACTTGGATCCTTTCCTGATGCTGGATGAATTTAAGGTGTCCAAGCCGGCAGGTTTTCCAGACCATCCTCACAGAGGATTTGAGACGGTAAGAAGATGGAACAAAGAGTTCAGGCTGCCCTCGTTTGAAAACTGGGACTCTTGAAATTTTTTTTTTTTAATTTTCTTTTATGGAGTTTTAGCATTTACTACTTCCTGTTCGTCTTACAGTCAAATATCTTTCAAAAACCAAACTGAAGTCTTTACATTAGCAATGGATATCTCCAGTCTTTTATAAAAGTATTAGTCTATCTTACTTTCACAACTTAGGTGCAGCCATTTTCTCATGTGTTTCCTTCCATGTATTTAGACAAAAAACATTTTGTAGTTCACACTGTTTTCCACAACAGTGTAGAGATATGTGTCCTGCCCTTTTGCTTAATTTCATAAGTAACCAAAACGCTGAGTCATTTTCTTTTAAAAAGGGTCAAATTGAGCAGAACAGCCAAGCCCAGTTGCAAGAAAACAGCAAATCTCTTATTTAAACATTAGTTGGAAACAAGAAGCAACAGTAGAAAAAAAAATAGTAATTTAATTTTTAGCAGTTTGCACTTTGTCACAAATATGTCTGTTTTTCATGACAGTGAATAGATATGTGTGCCGCCGTTTAACCGAAACACTGACTCGTTTTATTTTCAAAAGGGTCAAGCTGGGCTTGGCTGTCCTGAGTTGAACAGCCAAGCCCCGAGACAAGCAAACAGCAAATCTCATATTTAAACACCAGGTTGCGGCAAGAAGCAAGAGTATTTCAAAAACTTTCTTACTTATTTTAAAACATTGAATGAGTAATTTCCTTTTTGGTAGCTTATACTTTATCACATATTCACTTGTTTTTCATGACAGTGAATAAATACGTGTGCTACCTTTTTTCTTGTTTATATAAGTAACTGAAATGCTGAGTCATTTTCCTCTTAAGAGGTCAAAAGGAGCAGAACAGCCCAGCCCAGTTGCATGAAAACAGCAAATCTTATATTCAAACACTAGATGGCGACAAGAAGCAACATTATTCTGTCCAGTGATTGTAACTCTGAGTTTACGCATTTTCAAAAATCATACATTAAGACAGTGGAATTGAATATGTTTTGGCGTTTTGAATTAGGGATAATCTTAACTGAAGTCGGCATATTATTGAGTTAAATATTTTAGTATGACAGCTTGAAAAAAAAAGCCTTATTTTTTTAAATACAAGAGTTGTTCTGCATAATCAGAAAATCTGATTTAATGAATGTTCTGTCACTTCACTGCTGTTTATAATTTTATGATCATTCATAATGAATTATTTCTAATAAATAAAATTTTCTGAAATTATGGAACTAAATATATTAAAAACAAAGAAACTGATTAAACACATGCCTTGATTTTGCATATGCGACCTCCATCTCACTGTGTGCATGAATCGCAATGGCCACAGCTGACCCTCACACAGCTTTTGAAATCACACAGCTGTGGTGATGCATCAACCACAATTCACTGCTGCGGCTCGAGCTTCCCTCTCTTACACAGATGTTTAACCTTAAACTCTGCGTTTCTCTTCCTGCTGCGCTGAAATGAATGCATGAACATTGAGAATAGAATTGGCAAAGCACAGTTTGTTTTTTTTTTACTTTACAATTACACATTCCTTGAGTTGAGGAGCCTTTTATTTCCTAATGATTATTAAGTTAGAGTTAAGAGCGTTAATGAACAAAAAAGGAAACATAATTCACTTAATACAGATTTTATATGAATGTAAAAGCAAAAATCTGACTTTAGAGACATAGTTTTGCAACTTCAAAGTAGAGAGCAAAAATACAAATAAAAAAACGAATCTAATTTGTGTGATATGATTTAATGTAATCATTTTTGCAGTTAAGCAGAGCTTTAATTTGTGGCTTTTGTCTGTGTGTGTTTTTGTGTCTTAGGTCACATATGTTTTGGGGGGAATCACAGCCCATGAGGACTTTTGCGGTCATTCTGGACGTCTGATGCCTGGAGATTTACAAGTACTGAAAAATAATTAGGCAAAAACAAATTGACTTGTTATTCTTTTGCAACTATAAATTTGCAGATTATTTTGGGCAAAGAAGAAACGATTGTGAATTTTTCTGCCAGCACTTTTGAAATTTCTGAAAAGTTTTGTTTAAAGCTGTTTATCTCAATCAGTAAATTTGCCACCTTAAATGATGATTTTTGTTGTTTCAGATGGTACTGTTTTTTTTTTACTATTATCACTGTGAATGAAGCTACATACACAGAAAATGTAGTTAGAAAAACTGGTGTAACATAGTAATACCCTTGATTTTAACACATATGCTTTACAATCATGCAAAGTCCCTCTAATTAGATATCATGGATTCAGGACTGTTTATTGAAGAAGATTTTTAAAGCAGTACAACAAACACAACAGAGTTTCACTCAAGTCCAGCTGGATTTACTTACTTAATCACACACGTCATTGGACCAGAGCTCCCCATGAAAGCTGCATGTGTCCCAAAGCATTTTAGTTCGGATAGTTTTGTTAAAGACAGAAACAAAACGACGAATATGATCCAGAAGTAAAAGATTTTCTTAAAACAAAAAGCATTTATAACAGAAAAATTTCAAAGAAAATGTTGTTTTCCTAAAAAAACAACAAACGTATGTAGCCATACAGCTTTCTCTGGTTTTAGATAAATGTTTCATTGCACCTGTAATTTTCACTTTTATTTGTACTTTATGAAGTCAAGCTGGATGGTTGGTTCTCATATAACTGCATTTCAGGTTATTTTTAATGAATATTTACAGAAATTATATCAATATTAAAAGGTCTTAATTAGCTGATTTAAAAGAAAGGAGGAGCTGGTGAATACTAAATATTTCACTTGGTTTTTACCTGTTTGTTAAGTTTTTTCAGACCATCTTTTTTTTTTTTTAAACAAAAAGCCTATGTTTACTCATGGTGGATTCATTTCTGAATCCAACATGAGGCAACTAGTGAATTACATAATTGTAGGACTAAATTCTGCATATTACTGGAACTGCCTGTAAGGAAAGTTCCTGAAAGCTCATAAAATCATTAACGAGTCTGGAATAAATTATTGAAAAACTTCAGGTCTTTGTAAGCAACGTGTTTGTCTACACCTTTTGGCTGCCTTGGTCATAAGTTAAAAGGTTTGTAAGTTAAGATGATGAATTTACCTTTATGTTGAAGTTCTTGCAATTTTTTTTAGAGTATTGGTATGAAACTGTAGTACTACAAGTGTTACAGTTGCAGAAACTCAGCTTGAGTGAGTATTTGTTTCAGTTCAGATTGAATTTAGCAGATTGCTGGTTCTACAATTAGTGGCTTCACTAAAGATGTTGCTTAAGCAGATGTCAGGAAAAACATTTTCAATGTTTACTTTTTAAAGTTCATTAATGTCGTATTTAGTTCAAGTAACACAAGCACAGTTTCAAAATAAGCTTAATATTTTGAATATATTCAACATTTTTGGAACATATGCAACATTACAGTTACATGTCTGCTTTTTGTGATTGAGATTATGAGAGGTATTGTGTCATTGTCTGCCAGTGGATGACAGCAGGACGGGGGGTGGTCCATGCCGAGATGCCTGTGTCAGAGGAGCCAGTGGTGGGACTGCAGCTGTGGGTGAACCTCCGAAAACAAGAAAAGATGATTGAACCAGCATACCAGGAGCTTAAAAGCTCGGAGATCCCCAAACGCAGCCAGGGTGGGGTCACAGTCGCCGTGATATCCGGAGAAGCTTTGGGAGCAAAGGTGTGTCTTCATTTGTGAGAGAATCTTCATATTTCAACCATCGAACCTAACGCAGGAGCAGAATGTTTTAAGTGAAGTGATTTATTTTTTAATCTAATAAGCAAATATCTAAACGTACATGCCTTTTTGTGTGTCAGGGAACAGGACAGTGTGTTTACCACAATATTTTACCGCAGTGCTTGGAAGAATTATTTGGAAAAATGAAGCTATAAATGAGGAACAGATTCTTTTGGCATGTGAAAGATGACTTGCAGTTCTGTGGCGTCTCCTAGTTGTTTTCCTACATGTGTGAACAGCGGTGGATTCTGAGTTGGCGTCTGATTAGGAAAGTGTGAACTGATGACAAACTGTGGCTAAAATTGTGTTTCCATGTGGCAAATTACTTGATTTGTAGACAACATGATCACATTTTCACATAACTGCTGGTCCACAGATTAAGCTATAAAGTCATAAAGAAAAAATACCATAACAACTTTGGTAAATAAAGAGGATCAGTGGATTGGAAAGTACAGGTTCCTTTACATGTGCATATAATAAACAGGAGCATAAAAGACACAGCAAGTTCCTGTGTTTCACAAACCAAGAATTAACATTGGTTTCAATTAAGAACCGTATAAATTCTCTACTTCCCTAAAATGATAAAAACATGTTGCCTCAAAATAATTTCAGACTTTTAATCAGAAGGTGTAGGACAGAGCTCTTGGACAAAGAAATGGCTTTTTATATTCTTGACTAAATCTAGAATCCAGCTCAACTTGTTTATTCCATGCGATTTGACAAATGCACTTTTGGGATGTGTGACTAGCACACATCCCAAGTTGGTGCAAAATACCTATAAAATACCGAACACAGATTTAACACTGATGGAAGAGGCTAATTTGAATTTATTTTTTCCCTATACTATTTTTATTTGCATTCATTGTGCTCATAACGACATAAAGCTCAGATGGAGCTCTTGGGGAATAAAAATATTATGTTCATTTGGTGTTGATCACAGATTAAAACTTGATTCCTTTGAAAAACAAACTCAAACTAGATATGTGATGATATCTTGCCCATAATATAATGGTACTATGGGCCATTATAATGTAAACTTGTCATAACGGCCCATGGTATGAAATAAAATACATATCTGTGCATTTTTACCATATGATTTTTTTCTTGTATACAGTCCAAGGTCTACACAAGAACACCAACCTTGTATTTGGACTTCAAACTGCAGACCGGGGCCGTGCATGTGCAGCCGGTCCCATCTGGTAAGAGAATACTTGTATTGTCGTACAACCCAGAGATGGATCTGTAATGGAAATAACAAAAGAATCAAAACGGACCTATTTACAAACATCTAAAAACAAGATTCAGCAAAATTATAAGTGTACAGGTTTGGAAGTATCCATGCTGTGACATGACCTAGTTTATATAAGCTGCACTGATGCTCGTGATGGGAAAATACATTCGATTTAATCTTGAATATATTAGATTTCGACAGTAGAAACCCAGAGCCCCTTTTAGTAAGTTTGTAAAAATATTCATCGCACACTAAACATCTTTTGTAGTTTTTTTTTTTTACAGTTAAATACTGTAAATAATTAGTGTTTTTCATAATCAGTACACATGATGCACATTATGTACATTTTTGGAAAAGTAATCAGACTGTAGTCATATATACCTTGAATTGCGAGTCCAATATTTCTATTTCTACTAACTGCAGAGTATTTTCTGTTATCGTTTTGTACAGTATTTTATTATTATTAATTCTATTCTTCTCATTCTTAATCTTTTTGTGTGAAATTGCAATTACACCTGAATTTCTCCATTGCAGGACAATACAGACCTGTTCTATTCTAATTTCCGTGGAACTAGACCAAGATAATGTTGTTACCTTTGAGTTTGGCTCAATATACAATTTAGATAAATTAAACTGCAGTTTCCATTGTAAACTAATAACATTTATTTTGTTTAACAGGATGGACCACCTTCATTTATACTCTCTCTGGAACTACTCATGTCGGTGAGGGATTTTTTTCAACTTTTTTTATTTTGTTTTATTTTTGCTGGAAGTATTTCTGACTAAACTTTACAGTTTAAATGATTTTAACAATTAGGAATATATCTGGTTAATTGAATTGGACCAACATGCTTTGGTGGGTAATATAGACTACCTGAATTACTACTGAAAAATCTACTTAGCAAATAAGTGAGTGCTTTGAGACTAACAACAACTTGCCTTTTAGATCCAACCACAACGTTCAATGCGTTCAATTTTAAAGCTTGGCCACTTCTTGCTCTTACTTACTGATGGTGTTTTTAGTTTTTCTTTAAAACTAAAAACAACCATATAACTGTTATATGGTTGTAACTGCTTGACCCGGTGGAGAAATTCCTGATGTTTCTCACTGGGAAGCCATTGAAGGTTCAGGGAACTCCCTTTGCATGAGAACAGACTCTTCCAGACACTGGACTTATTTTCACAGGCTTTGTTGTTCTTTTTGAACTGATTTTAATATTCTGCTATAAAATCTTGTTATATTTGATTACTGTCCTTTGTTATCCTGAAGAATCACTTCACTGACTGTAATCACGACCAGATGTTTTAATGACACCAGAGGATGAGGAGGGATGCTGAGACTAAAGCAGCTATTTGAATGTCAAGTCTCTGACTTTGTGTGAAGTCTGACTTAAATCAGAACCAGCTGACTCTGATGGATACATCCAGGAGAGCTGCAGTTGTTTGTTTCTCACAGTATTCAGTCTAATTGTGTTACTGTCTTTATGTACTATCCATAAAAAGGTTCATAAATGGTTTTCAACAAACAAGTAACACAAATTGAAGAGCAGCTTGAGTGAAAGTGTTGTGTATAATGTTTTTGTTACTTACTTATACTACTTTGTAATTATGCTCATAGTTCACACACGTTAGAAAAGTATCATAAAATATAAAATAACATGACTCAGTTTTCTGTATTTAGTTTACATTCCAGTTGTTCGAGTGAAAATAATAATTTCTAAAATGGGCAAGGAGTCATGTTTAGTTAACTTGCTGGAGAAGAACGTACAGTGACATAATTAGTAAAAAATAAACTGTAAACTCACAGACTACTTTTCCAGGTGCATCATATTCAAATATCTAGTGATTAGTTGCATGAACATAAGAGAAGATACTCCCTGTGTGCTGCCATTATTCAGTCTGTCCTGCCTTGCATCATCATCATCATATCAGGCTACTTGGTGCTGCCAGTGTCCCCTCTTTAGGACCACAGTGTGTCCATCTTTACATGACTATTGACCATGTCACGAAACATAAGAGTCTCACCGTAGTCTTATGCCTTGCATAGTTGCCAGATTATATCTGTGTTGTGGTGGAATGGGAGGCTTACATTATGGATGTGCGGATGACAAAAGTTGCAGAAACTATGCAATGTTATCTTGTTACCTTGGATCAAAAACTCTAAAGAATATTTTCACATCTTGTTGAATCTGTGCAAGGAGGAAGTAGAGCAGCTCTCATGACAAAGGCTGCGCAACCTGATCGTACCAAAGTGGACTAAATGAAGTAGAAAGAGAGTTTATGCAATAAATGTTTGACCTCACAGAGGTTCACACTCGATATGAATAATGTGATGATTAAAAGTTAAATGCCTGTTATTTTTGTTTATTTTAATATGCATTTTGTTTTTTAAAGGCCCAGATCAGGACCAGCAGCCGGTGGAGGCTCATCACACTGTGGTGTTTGGAGACGGTGATTGTGTCAGGTTTGAGAACAAGGTATAAAACTTCAAATGTTGAGAACTTGTCCATATAATACTTTGTCAGATGGACTTTATTGTCAAAAATGAAACATTTATCAGAAAAAAATATCAGCCACAACTGTTTTTTTGTTGTTGTTTAAGGTGCCATTAAAACTGTCATAAACAATTGGCAAAGTGTTTAACAATATTGTTGTTGAGGTTTTGGTCTCACAGACTCATTAATAGTCCAGCCAGTAAGGAACATCCCTGTTCTTCCTTAGAAGGTGTTGCTACTGCAGGAAAGCATCTCCGGAGCCTTGACATTTCAACCGCTGTGATTTTAATTTGCTGTGAGGTTCTTTTCACGGAGCGCCGCATTTGGTTTACACAACACATGTCAAAAATACTTGAGTTTTAAACTCGTCTTTCCAAAGAATATTATTCCAGAAGTTCTAGTCTGTGCCTGCGTTCTTTCTGGGAAACTTCGATCTGGACTTGATGTTCTTCTTAGTTTCCTCTTTGCAAAAATCTCGTCACACTTGGAAGTTAAACTTGGGTGGTCTTTATCCGATTGCATGATAATGCATCAACAGTAGGAAGAGCCTGCTGTGGGTTGGTTGGTGACATTTTAAGGTTTTTGAAGAACTCCTTTTCCATCTTTTGCTCTGTTCAGGGTGCACTTGCTTGGATAGCCAGACAGGGGATTGGTGGCGTTTTGTTATGTTTTTGGTATTAAATGTCTGCCACTTACAGAATGTCTTTCTTAAAATGGAGCAGACAGTTTCAAGTTATTTTGAGATCCCTAAAGGTCTCTTACCAGACTCATAAGCCGCTATAACCTTCTTCTCAAAGTCCTCCTACAACTCGTTATTTTTTTTGTTGTGCTTTTCATTCTCACTTCAAAAGGTTAGGAGCACTGGATTACATTTCTGAGCCTTAAGCAGCACAAAGTCCCTCAAAATATAAAGAATAATGATTTTCGCCATTGTTCATAACCACTCTGAAGTGCCTGTGTGTAAATTTAGCTATTTTTAGTGTTTTAATTTATTGCTTATCATAAATCACTTCTTTTTTAAATAAAATTTTTAATTAACATTTTTAAAATACCAGTTGCTAAGTTTGTGTTACTTTTTTTATGACTTGAAATCTTCTTCTAACCTTTTTTCCAAGAAAATGATGGATTGTTTTTATCTCCAGGGCTCTGAAGTTTCTCATTTTGTGCTGATTGCTGGAGAACCGATCAACGAGCCTGTGGTACAACACGGTACGTTCTCTACTTTTACGTTGCTGTTCAGTAAACAAAAAAATACCTTTTTTATTAACAGGAATTATTTTCTACCGCTTTCAGCACCTATGTATTAATTTAAGTTGTTTGGCCTTCAGGTCCGTTTGTAATGACCAGTCAGGAGGAGATCCACCAGGCCAGGATGGATTTCCAGAATGGCACAAATGGCTTTGAAAGAGCCAAAAGCTGGAGGTCCAAAATCAGAGATTCTTCTTAAGCAGTGAAGCTTTTTACACAGATTGTTTCTGTCTGGCACTATGGGAGTGGATGGATGTTCTCAATAATTTTGTGATATTTTGGTATAAACCTGATGTACAACACAAAAAAAAAAGATCCTGGTTTAGAGTTTTAAATATACTTATACCTAGTCATAATGCTTTACACGGGTATCTTTCTTATGCTGTTTGTAGTTACAGAAACACTATATGCAATACTTTATTTGGTGTTTTTAAGTGGGTGCAAAAATACATGTAAGGTAGATTTGAGCTGTTATAATTTCTTGATTAACTGTGAGCTGTGGTGTTCTTTTTGTCGGTGGGATTTTCTGACCATCCTCCTCCACCTCTTTCCTTTTCCATCGTTGTGGCCTTCAACCCTAAACTTTTCACTTCCATTGTCGTCATAATTATCTTGGCTGCTAGATGCCGTCATTAACACAAACTGCGAGTGCTGTGTTGAGACGTTTGTACCAACCTGCTTCGTCATGGTGGAAGGAAAGTCTCTTATTTTGCTAAAAAAGAACAACACAACAGATGCCTATATTCTTAATCAGCACTTTAGAAATGGAGATTAGCACATATATTACATACATATTGATCTGTAAGGAGCCTTCAGAGACTTAGTTTATTTAAAAAAAGAGGATTTTAAATTTTGTTTTGAGAATTTGTGGCATAAATTCATCCTTGTGGATTTATAACCCCTGCAACATGGTGCTGATTAAAGCATGCCTTACTGACGGAGAGTGTTTAGTCGCTGCTACTGGGACATAGTTCCTATTGATTAATTCATCTCCACTGACGTTTCCCTGGTGACACTTGTTATATTTTAATACAAGGTTTGGCAAAAGACTCATTTTCCATGAATAATAAGCACTTTGTTTGCTCTCCTTTATTTAATTGACTCGCTACATGTTCACTCAAATTGTATTCCATCTTCCCTTTAAAGCAGAAGTTACCTAATGCATATGAGTAATAAAAGTTAAGAAGTAGTTTACATTGTATTAAACTCATCATTTTTAGGACGCAAGGTTCTCCAGCATTGTACATTTGAAAATGTACAACTTTGAAGACCGTCTCGATTGGACAAGTATGATAACGATCATATTTTCCCATCTTCTAATATTATCGAAAACTACAGATTACAGATGCCATAGATGTTTTTGCTGTTGATGGTGGTGCATTTCTTGCAAATTAAATACTAAACTTAATGTGTCGGTCGGTGAGGGTTAGTGGATAGGATGTCTGGGAGACGGGTGTGGTGCTGGCTTCTTACTTCCCATCACATGTTACGATGGTCTGGATCACATTTAAAACACGTGTTCCAGCTTTTGGCCAGGGACATGCAAGTCTAGAGGAAAAACACGGGTGAAAGGGTTAGATGATCTGTCAACTTGATACAAAGGTTTAAATAACAGAAACAAGAATCACAAGTTGTGTTGTTACTATTACCTTAGGGTTATTTTCCCATAAAAATCAAAGCAGTCTGAAGCAGCATAGCCATAAAGTTCTACATCCTGAAATCTACACTAATAGTAAAGAGCATTTTTGCAGACAATGAGTCTAACAGGAAACCTCATCCTATTCATCAAAGCTTTAGCAGGACTGTCCCGGTTTAAAGCCCATCTCTCCATTTGGCTCAAACACGGAGGAAGGAAGGTTATTGCTAAATTCTCAGGCTACGGCTTTTATGACGAACTTGTACTTAACCAGTTCCTGCCAGGACAGCAGACTGATGTATGTTTAGTCCATCTAAATGAATAGAACTCCTTAATTTTACCTTCACTGTTATGCAGTTTCCTTCGGTTTGCTGCAGATGCTTCATCGTTTAACATGTGATAAATGTGTCCCGATTTCCTTTTTTTGTTCTTTTTTTTTCTAAATGGTTTGTCTCGAAATAATCTTAGAATATATTAAAAATGGGGATTCTAATTCACCCTGGTCCTGTTTTGTTCTGTTTTAGTTTTAGCATGAGAACCTTCCTGCAGTAGCACCACGTGACGTTTGTGGGTTTCTTACACTCTTGAACCTGAGCTTTAAAAGTTCATTTGGAAATGTGCCAGCAAAAAAAATGCTTAGAACATGTTTTTGCTAGTGAAAAAACACTGATGTGCAATTAGACATTTTACATAAAATTGAAAATATAAATTTATTTTAAGCTTTTCAAATTTTACATTTTTTTAATATAAAGTTCATTGTAGTTGTTGATTTCCATTGTCATATTTTTACTATTTTAACTTTTAATGTGTAAGAATAAATATGCAGATTTTTTTTCACAAAACTATTTACTATGCAAAAAGAACAAACAAACAAAAAACAACAGTATAAATAGTTTGCTTCTCTGTTCTTCTTATTCGAAGGCGACTGAAACAGTTTTCATTAAGGTTGCCAACCAGTCAAAGGAGCAGAAAATAAAGTTTATGTTTAGGTTTTTCATACAACCTTGTGTAGCAAAAGCAGACCAAATGTAACAGACAGACAAGAAGTTCTATGATTTTTTAAAAATACCATCTATAGCTCAGTAGAGAAAAATGTGCTTATTGTAAGGACTCAAAAAAAAAAAGCTCTTCTGCTGACATGGGGTTTAGAGCACTCTGTAACTTAAAAGTATCAGACAAAAAAAGTCTTGTGGAGGACAGTCAGGTGTAGTAAGAGGTTCATCGGAGTTCTTCCCTCTGGCACAGAAGAAGGACACAGAATATCGTTACACGCTCTCAATAAACTTCTTGAACTGCTGCAGTCAGGCAAACAAGAGACCCAGAGGGAACCCACAGCAGCATGACTACTGCAGTCTTTCAAAAACAATGACACTATTTAGCTTTATGTTCCTTTTAACTCACCAATCAATGAGGGCACTACCACATAAAAAGATGACGAAAAATAGGCAAAACGCGCCACAACCAAATACGGACGGCTTCTCTTATGTTTTGATTTGCACGTGGCTCCCTTAATATCTGCACTCCCCTCACATTTCTTGCTAAATGTCTCGGCACCGGTACGGCAAACTGTTCCTGCTCTTGCCTCTCTACAAGTCCTTCCATAAAAATCCGCACAGAATCCTCCATGATTTCACAAATAATGTTTTTTGAGTCAGAAAACCATGAAAACGAGCTGGCTGCTGGGAAGGTGACTGAGTGGCCTGAGTAAATGAGAAAAATGTAGCTGACGTTACCCAGCAACGATCTTTGTACCGTTTTATTTATTTTTGAACTTTATGCAGAACTGCTAACTCTTACTAACTTTACAAGCTCTTTGGTTAGATTTGATTTGTCCGTTGCACAGAATTTCATTTCACCATGAGGTTGGTGAAGCTACATTCACCAAAGAAAGAGGAACTAATAGAGCCAAGAAGAGGAAAATGTTCTTATTGTAAGGACATTGTTGATCCTCCTTTCTGGAGGATCAAAACTTGGAAATGATATTATTATAGAGAGACATGTTGGCATAAGAAAATGTCTAAGGTTTAATATATCTCCCTTTTTCGATCTTGTTTCAAATCGGGATTATTTATGGTTAATGAAGACATACTTTGATTGTCGGGTAAATGTCAACAAGCAAAGTATTTCTTCACCGTGTCTTTTAAAGCTTGGTATTTCTTGACTACAATTGGGATGGGGATCAGTGCCTCCACGTCCGAGGCCATGGTCTTGAGGCGGAAAAGGGTAGAGTGCCTTCTACGGGTCGGGGGGGATGTCCTGCCTCAAGAGGAGGAGTTCAAGTATCTCGGGATCTTGTTCTCGAATGAGGGAAGAGGGTAGTGGGTGATTGACAGGCGGATTGGAGCAGCGTCTGTCGTGAAGCGGTGCAATGTACCGGTCCGTCGTGGTGAAGAGACAGAAAGTGAAGCTCTCAATTTACCGGGCGATCTACGTTCCCACCCTCATCTATGGTCATGAGCTTTGGGTCATGACCGAAAGAACGAGATCACGGATACAAGCGGCTGAAATGGGCTTTCTCCGTAGTGTGGCTGGGCTCTCCCTTAGAGATAGAGTGAGAAGCTCGGTCATTCAGGAGGGACTCAAAGCAGAGCCACTGCTCCTCCGCATTGAGAGGAGCCAGTTGAGTTGGCTTGGGCATCTGGTAATGATGCCTCCTGGACGTCTTCCAGGAGGTCCAGGACCAGGAGGACACCAACACTACCTCTTGACCTCCAATCACACATCCTGAGTCCAATTACGTAATCCATAATCAGTTACCAAGAAACATATTTTTTTAAACCATGTACTGTTGAGGATTTGTTTTTGACTTATTACATTTAAATAGTAATTTTTTTTAGTTGTAAGTGTTATTTCATAGAGATTTGGTAAAAACCTGGTTCAAAAGCAAACTATTTGTTTTACAAATTATGCTTCAGAAGTTTGAAAGATGGAGGGTTTTCTTTCTAAGTGAGGTATTTTCACTGAGCTCTCACACTCTGCTGTATTATGACTATTATGATTAGTTCACCCCCTTTTTTTAGGAAAGTTCATCTGAATAATTAATCTGACTCCTCCTCGTCTTTGGATTAGTCAGAAACATGAGGAGCATGTGCATAGCGGTGTGTGCAGTGAGGAATAAAGACATGGAGGGCTGAATGAATGTAAGTCGGTTCAACAAATGATATTAAAGATCCCTATTGCTAAAGTACAAGGATTACATAGAGTTTGAAGCAAATTGGAGATCTGCTGGCGTGTTATTGAGGAACATGGTGGCAGCACTGTAGATTAAACATGATTGAATGAATGAGATGTGTGGCATATATGTACTGCATTATTAGAACAAAAATATGTTTTGTTTTGGATTCTTTTGCTCAAGACGAATGTGTCTGAATGGAAATATTACAGGAGACTAGATAGGAAGTATGGTGGAGACTGCATAATAATGACTTAATTGTACAGATTTAATTATAGCTATATCTATGTCTTTAGATATATCTTATAGATATAGATATAAATCTCTCTCTCTCTCTCTATCTCTCTCTCTATATATATATATATATATATATATATATATATATATATATATATATATATATATATATATATATATATATATATATATATGTGTGTATGTATGTATGTACGTGTATATATGCATATGTAGGTTTGAAATATCCTGATATATATATATATATATATATATATATATATATATATATATATATATATTCATATATTTATATATATTTATAGACAGATTTTTATCTATAGATATATACTTATATATAGAAACTATTTGCATAAAACTCCTGTTGTATGCAAATCATTTCAGATCTTTGCTTGCTTTCTGTCTGATAACAGACAAAAAGGAGTAAGAGTAAAAGAAACTGACAGAATCTGAAAAGAATTTAACTGCAGTAAAACAACAATATAAAAAATGTAATAAACTAGTACACCAACAGAAACAACCAAAATAAGCAATAGTGGGGAAATAGGACACCAGAATAAAAACAGACCTACTGGAAAAAAATAAATGAAGCAAAAAAACTATTTACCAAAAAGAACCCATAACAAAAACCAAACACCAAAACCTAAAGACATGATGATCATGACAACTGCAGTCGGTTTACAGTAAGAAAAATCTGTGTCGTTACAAGAAACACGTTTGTTTTCCTCTTGAATTGAGTCGTTGGATCCTTCTGTAGCCACGTCCTCTATTGTCTTTTTCTGCGGGAGGGAACTATTCGGATCTTCTGGAGATGTTGCCTCTGCTGCTGGACTCAAGCCATGATTTTCAACTTCTTCCAACAAAGAAGTCAAAAGAGATTCGACTTCTTTGTCAGAGGTAGAATCTACTTTCTGTGCCGTGGCAGCTTTGATTTCCAGCATTTCAGGGTACATCTCTCTAATTGTCTCCACTATCCCTATCCTTTCTGCTGTAGAGCTGCTTTCCTGCTGCATGTCTTCAATTGGAGATGGAAAATCCCTGTGTCCATTGACGTTTTGTCCAATTTGTGAACGCACCTCAGGACTCATGCTTAGGTTTGGTCGATTGGAAAAAAGTCCAAGTCCACTTCCAATAAAGTGAGAAGCGTTATTGTAAAACGAGTCCATGTTGTCAGATTTGTGACTTTATGTCAATGCAATAAATGTTTTCATCTCTGAAAATTTCCACAAAAAACACAAAATCTGTTCAGAGTGTTCTCGGCTGAAGAGGTAAATGAAGAGGCTTTATAGGGCGATGACGTCAAAGGAGACCTTGGCAGCGTCACAGACGACATCTTGGCAAGCAACGTCACGTGTTCCCTGGCGTCACGAAGGTGCTGGCGTCACCTCGCGACATGGGTGTGGTCAGAGAGCGGTGCGCTGCAGCCACGTCACGTGACGCGCTTGGGCACGAGGACTGCTGCGACTCCCTACTGATCCTGAGAGCTCAAGATGGCGGGTTCATTCATAACACCCAATTTAGTGTTATAGTCCATGTAATCTTTACTACATGGTTTCTGTAATCAATGTTATTGGTTGATTTAAAGAAAAATACCTTCTTATCTTCACCTGTTTTATTTGCCTTCACACCTGCGGTAGTGCAAATAATTGATCTTAACGATATGATTATTAATTAGCACTTATTGCATTTTTAAAAATCTTTCTTCTTTTTATTGAGCGTGATTTTTTTCCCCTCCTTGTGACGGGTGACCGTGACTGTTCTCTCTGCATCTGTCTTGCCTATGATTGTGTAGCCTACTGTCCCAGAGTGTGGAACTGTTTAAAGACACCAAGAAATAAAACCCAAAATGTTCTGATTCTGAAGAACGTTGCATAAAGTTTGTCCAACCAGAGAGCCACAATGCTACTCTTGGAATGGCTTTAGTCTGCCCTCTACAGGCCAGTTAATGGCATGGGTCAATGTCACATATTTCCATACTGTGCTACTATTGTAAAACCTGGAAATTTGTTTGTTTTGGACATTTATGTCCACCATCTACTGGCTTGATTGTCTTAATTATCTATGTGAAAC